AAAAAAAAAAAAAAAAAAAAAAAAAAAAAAAAAAAAAAAAAAAAAAAAAAAAAAAAATCCACTCCCATTCACAGAGCTGGGACAAGAAATCAATGAAACCACAAAGTTCACAGGAAACAGCATTTCTCTTAAGAGCATGCTGCAGCCATAAAGCATAAAAAACTCCCTTTGGATGGAGACTCCTTTCTTACTATTTAGAAATTTTGTTCTCTACAATTACAGACTACCAGAAATTTTGCAGTTTGAAGTCTTATCAGTTGGAATTTGGAATAAAACATCGCACTCTTGCCTGGAGGATCAAAGTCACTCTGACACAGACAAGCGACCTCAATTTCCAAACAAGGCAGAGCTTCAGATAAGGAGTTTCTGGAAACGATCCTGCACATCTGTGTTAACCTGGTATTCTCCAAGGAAAGAAGACCACTTTGCAGTCCAGACTAGATCTTGGCCCCTTTACACCCAGCCTACACGTAGGCTTTCGGCCCATCAAAACACTATTTCATTTACATTTGCCTAAACTTCACTCATCTCCAAAATTCTATGATTTTCTTTTCTTTTTTGTTTTTAGGGGAGACGGAGTCCCGCTCTTGTCGCCGAAGCTGGAGTGCAGTGGTACAATCTCGGCCCGCTGCAACCTCCGCCTCCTGGGTTCAAGTGATTCTCCTGCCTTAGCCTCCTGAATAGCTGGAACTACAGGCGCCTGCTACCACACTAGGCTAAATTTTGTACTTTTAGTAGAGATGGCATTTCACCGTATTTGACCAGGCTGGTCAAACTCCTGACCTCGTGCTTCACCCGCCTCAGCCTCCCAAAGTGCTGGGATTACAGGGGTGAGCCCCCGCAACTGGCCGATTTTTTCTTTTTTTTTTTTTTTTTAAGAGATAGGATCTGACTCTGGAGTGCAGTGGTGCAATCACAGCTCAGTGCAGCCTCAAACTCAAGCAAGCCTCTCACCTCTGCTTCCTAAGTAGGACTACAGGTGCACACCACCACAACCAGCTAATTTTTGTTTTTTGTTTTTGTTTTGTAGAGACTGGGTCTCATGATGTTGCCTAAGCTGGCCTTGAACTCCTAGCCTTAAGCAATCCTCCTGCCTCAGCCTCCCAAACTGCTGGCATTACAGGCATAAGCCACCACACCTGGCCTTTTAAATTTATTTTCATTCCCACCACAGCTCTACTCACCCCCTTCATCAGTATTCCCTGGAACCTCAACACACTCCAGTACCCTACAGACACAGGCACACAAGTTCACACTGTTCTGGCACTCCTGAGCGTACTGCAGACCTCACACCGCTGACTCTCCCAACAATGGCACACACTTCAGTGCCTCTGAATACCTTAAATCAGTAGCAGCCTCTGTAATACCTTAAATCATCCAGCTGCCCCTTCCTAGAGTGTCTCTGTGTTCAGTGACACACGCACACCTCACGCCACCTTGACCTTAGTGCACTGGGCCTCTGACAGCACCGAGACCCTTCCCATACCACCACCCCATGCCCCACACAGATCCACAACCTTCACCCCACTAGCACAGGTCTCCCACCATCCTCCTTCCACCAGATCCCTCCATGAGGTCCTTCCAGCTCTGCCCCATTAGCATGCACTAGGCTCCAACTACCCAGACCTTTATTAGGACGTGCACACACCCTCCACAGCATGACCTCCACGAGGACACACATAGCACTTGAGTCTTTCAACCACCTCCCCTCCATAAGCACCCCATTCTCTCCTATCCCTCAGGCCCCCACAGATACACACACACTCTCATCACCACACATGAGGCCTCAGAGGCCTATTAGCACATATCCTAGTGCCTCTACTACCCTATCCTCCATTAGCACACACTGGGCCCCTCTCCAGGAGTAACCCCTATTAGCTTGTCCTGGAACTTCCTCGACATCCTACCCCTGTAATACACCCGTGGGTCCCTTACTCACTCTGCAACCCCCTTCCCTAAGCACACACTGGGCCTTGAGCCTCACCCACCATAAGACTCTTCTTCACCACATTCTCCAGCCCTGCTCAGCGCAGGCCCTCACTGGTAAAGCTCCAGTCTCTCCCCACTCCACCACCTATTCCCACACCTCTGCTCCTCTGACCCCCTGCTCCCCATTAGCACTCACGGCACTTCCCATTCCCAGCTCCCTGCACCAGGCCAGGTCAGAGACGCCACAAAGGACACCCGCCCTGGTGCCCTCAGATGATTCTCTGTCCCTTGATGGAGACACACAAGTCCTGCCGGTGTGCAGTCTTGCTTATCACAGTGAGTCAATAAACAGAACACGTGTGTCCCAAGTGGCCTTAGGCTGGCTGGAAGGTCACCCTCTCCTTCTCCAAACATATACCACCTCTTCCCCAACCTTCACTCTCAGCTGATCATCTTACAAGATCATCCTACTTTACTGGAAAAACAGAAGCAATCAGAGAGCATTTCCACCAGTTCCCAAGCCCCACCCCAGGTTCCTGCAGTCTCCTGTTATTATGAACTGTGTGTTACCCTGAAACCAGCCCAGCACCCAGCTCAGGCACACCCCATGCCCAGCTCTGTCCTCTCATTCTCTCCAACTCACCGCCACTCCACCCAAACTGACCTTATCACAGTCAGTCAGCACGGGTGACCTCCACATCACTAAACACAACAGTCAAAGTGCAGCCCCCATCTTCCTTGACCTATCAATAGCATCTAGTGTGATTGATCACTCCCTACTTAAACACCTTCTTTACTTGGTTTCCAGGAAATTACACTCTGGCAGCTCTTCCTCATCTCTGAGTCCACTTAGTGGGGTCCCCCAGAGCTCAGAGCTCAGACCTCTTCCCACACTCCCTGGGAGAGCTCACCCAGACTCTGGACTTTTCATCTCTGCCTGCTAACAACTTCCAAAGGTTAAAACTTCAATCCCAGCCTCTCCTCAGAACTCAAGGCTTGCTTCCTTGACATGTCCATGTGGATGTCTGATGAACAACTCAAAAGATTCAAAAACAATACCAAATAACTCAATTTAAAAATGAGGAAAGGGCCAGGCATTGGTGGCTCACACTTGTAATCCCAGCACTTTGGGAGACCGAGGTGGGAGGATCGCTTGAGCCTAGGAGTTCCAGACCAGCCAGGGCAACCTAAGACCTTGTGTCTGCAAAAATTAAATTTAAAAATTAGCCAGGCGCCGGGCGCGGTGGCTCACGCCTGTAATCCCAGCACTTTGGGAGGCCGAGGTGGGTGGATCACGAGGTCAAGAGATCGAGACCATCCTGGTCAACATGGTGAAACCCCATCTCTACTAAAAATACAAAATATCAGCTGGGCATGGTGGCACGTGCCTATAATCCCAGCTACTCAGGAGGCTGAGGCAGGAGAATTGCCTGAACCCAGGAGGCGGAGGTTGCGGTGAGCCGAGATTGCGCCATTGCACTCCAGCCTGGGTAACAAGAGCGAAACTCCATCTCAAAAAAAAAATTAGCCAGGCATGTTGGCATGTGCCTGTAGTCCCAGCTATTCAGGAGACTGAGGTGGAGGATCATTTGAGCCCAGGAGACCAAGGCTGCAGTGAGCTGTGATCATGCCACAGCACTCCATCCTAGGTGACAGTGAGGCCTTGTCTCAAAATAAACCAAATAAAATTTTTAAAATGGGCAAAGGACTTGAATAGACACTTCTCCAAAGAAGATACACAGATAGCCAACAGGCACATGAAAGACGTTCAGCTGCACCGGTCATCAAGGCAAACACAGATCAGAAGTGTGACAAGGTGGCATTTCACACCCAGGAGGATGGCTGTTAATACAAAAATCAGTAAGAACATGAGTTTAGGGGGATGTGGAGAAACTGGAATCTTCAAACATCACTGGTGGAAAAGTAAAATGCAGCCACTGTGGAAAGCAGTCTGGCCACTCCTCAAAAGGTTAAGCATAGTCACCACATGACCCAGCAACTCCACTGCCCAGAATGTACCCAAGTATGTACTGCCCAGTATGTACCCAGTATGTACACTGAAAAAACATGTGCTCACGCACACACTTATACATGAATGTTCACGGAAGCATTATCCACAACAGTCAAACAATGGAAATAACCCAAGTGTTCATCGGCTGATGAATGGATAGACAAAATGTGGTACATCCATAAATTATTATTCGGCCATAAAAAAGAATAAAGCACTAATTCATGCTGCAACATAAGTGAACCCTGGAAACATCATGCTCAGTGAAATAAGTCTGATAAAAAGGTCATATTCTATACTGTTCCATTTACATGAAATGTCCAGAAGCAGCAAATTCAGAGACAGAACATAGATTCGTGGCTGTCAGGGGCTGGGAGGTTGGGGGTGGAATAGCTGCTGACAGGGATGGGGTCTCTTTTTGGCTACAATGTTCCTAAATTAGACAGTGATGATGGTTGTACAACCTGGTGAATATGCTAAATACCACTGAATTGTGCACTCTAAAATGTCAAATGGTATGGTTTGTGAATTATATCTTCACTGAATTCTCCCCTTAACATTTAAAAAGACAAAAGCATTCTCAGCTCTCAGGCTATACAAAACAAGCAGCAAACTGTGGTTGGCCAAGCCCTGCCTTAGGTAACAGCACTGCTTCAGGTCTGCCAAAGGCCCAGGTAACCTCATCCACACATAGGGCACTGGCAGCCACCTGAACTCTGATGCTTTCTAAGTCTGCACTGCAGCCCAAATCTCTCCTATGCTTTTCTCACTGGGCTATCAAGATATGGGATATCCACTCCAGAACTCCCACCTGTCCCCACATGCCCCTCCTCCAGGATTCCCTTGGTGATCGGCTCATGACCCAACCACCCACTCAAGTCACAGACCAGGTGTATGACTTGATTCCGCTCTCCCCTAATCTCTAAACCAACCAATTACCACATGGAGTCAATGCTCCCACCAAAACCTCCCTCACAGCTGCTCGCCTCTCTCCTTCCTTGCTGCCTCTCCCACTCCCAACACCCCACCTTCCCACCTCCGGTGTAAGCCAGCAGCACTTTTCACCTGGGTTTCCGCAAAAGATTCCCACCCAGTTCTTCCTCTTTTCCAGTCCATTCTGAGGATTACATAGCAAACAATAGGATCCTTTCTCTTTGATTAAATGTTTCACACAGAGAGAAAAATTAAAAACATCAATGAACATCCATCCAGCTTTGTCAAGTTATGCTGCATCATTTTTTCAGATTTTTTTTTAAAGAAATTAAATATTACAACTAGAGTTGAAGCCCCTCTGGACTCCTCCCCATCCAATTCTGCTCCCTCCCAAGAAGTGATCACTGTCTTCAAGCTGTTAAGTTGGTGGACATCAGAGATTCTCAAACTGAGGTCCCCAGACTGGTGGCATCACCACTGCTCAGGACCTTGGGAGAAATGCAAATTCTTGGGTCCTCACCCCAGACCTACTGAATCAGAAATGAAAATCTGTGTTTTAATAAGTCCTCTAGGTGATTTGGATGCACACTAAAGTATCTGAAAAATACACATGCTATCTATCTATCTACCTACCTATCTAATTGATCATCTAATCTATATTATCTACCTACCTATCTAATTGATCATCTAATCTATATTATCTATTTACCTACCTCCTTACAACCCGGAGTCACACTATGTTGCCCAGGCTGGACTCTGGACTCAAGTGAACCTGGAACTAACTACAGGCATGGGCCACTGAACTCAGCTTCCCATACGTGATTTTTATTTTCACCACAAGTATGTGCCCATAAATAATACATTATGTTTTCCAGCTTTATACAAACAGTGGTGGGCTGGTATTATCCTCTTGCAACTAGCTTTTTTAAAAGCTCAAGGTTACATTTTTGAGATTTATCCATGGAGATACACAAAGTTCCGGTTCACTATTTTCAACTGGTATGACTTTTCCACAATTAGTGAGACAAGTTATGTACACATCTCCCCAGGCATATGTGGAAGTTTCTCTGATACATGCAGGGAGAGCTTTCTAAAGCACGGATCTGATCCCATTTTGCTTAACATTCAAAAGCCCCCAACTCAGCCCTCAGGATCAAGTCCAAACTCTTATGTGGCCTCCTGAAATCTAGCCCCTCCCTGCCTCCCTAGACCCTCCCTGCATCCCACACCCCAGCCCCTGAGCTTTCCTCAGTCCTCAAAGGCTCCCTTTTTGGGATGCCCAGGCCCCGGCTTCCTCTAGATTCTGAGTACTAAGAGTCATGCCTGCCTATCCTGTTCACCACTGTCCTGTTCCGGCAGCAGCAGGTACTCAGCAAAGACACACCAACTGCCTGGTCACTCTGCGCCTCTCCCTCTTCATGGCCTCAGCCACACAGGCTGCTTTCCCTCTCCTGTGTTCACTTCACCCAATCTGCTCTTCCTCTCCTCAAGGCTCCCATCCTCTGAGGCCCCTTATCTGCTACTGCCACCTCCTTCTCCAATCTGAGTTCCCCAGCTCAAACCCCATGGTGAATCCTTTCAACTCTCCAAGCCTAACCTCCCACACATCCTTCCTTGCCACTAGGGGTGAAGTCAGGTTTTATGGGGCCTGAAGCTTATACAACTGGGGGCAAGGGGCGGTAATTCTTTAAGGGAAGAACACACAATTATGAATGTAAAACTGCTGAGCCCCTTGCCAGGGTTTTGGAAGGTATTTGTGCAAGTATAGCATCTAGAGGCTTCATCATAAACCCAGATCTGCTTGTCATTCACCAGCCCTGTGTCACTTGCCCTGTCCACTTCTTCATTTCCACTCAAAGGCTGCCAAAATCAGCTACGAAACTCTGTAGGACTCTGGAAATGCATATTTTCCAATCTGCGCTGGACCCTCATCATTACTCAGAAAACCTTTAATGCATTCCTTGCTGAATCCAAATTTTATATTCCCCAGTAACCTTTTCTATATCCCTAAGTCCTCGCATTCACTTCTGAATCCTCTCTCAGCAAAAAGCAACCAAATCAAAATGAAATAAATTTTAAAATCCCCAAAAATTCATCTGAATGTCAACTTCACACCAGTTCTGTGAGGTGGATATAATTGTTGTTATTCCCATTTCACAGATAAGACAACTGAGTCAGAGATGAAGTAATAAATCCAAGGTCACTAAATTATACAGAAGAGCCAAGTTTTCTGGCTTCAAGCCCATTCTTCCTCTGCAATGCTCAGGAGTTGAACTAAGTCAAACTCAGTGTGGTCACCTGGGGGCTGCCTGGGGGACCCTGGGACTGCTGGTTTCTTAAAAAAGACTTTAGCCCACCTCAACCCTTGATTTGCTTTTTTGTTTCAGAGGCATATTCTGGAGTAGGTCACCCAGAGCATAGGATGAGGCTGTGTGGCTGAAGGAACTTTCCGGTCCAGAAACAAGCAAAAACCACTGAAATTTCCTGGTCCTGAAAAACAGCCTGCACATTAAAGAATAAAGAAGGTGGGCAGATTGGGCAGGAGAAATTCAGGCACGACATGTAGGAAGGCTTACTGATAGAGAAAAACTTGGGATCCACTGCTCTACATTTACAGCTTAAAGAAAAAAGAAAAGCACAGGAACAAAACTAGTTTTTACCGACTTACAAGGTATTTTCTACAACTAGAGAAGACAGAGTAGTGTCATTCAATACAATTTAGAGTTCCATTTTGCCAATAAAGCACAAGGTACATTAAGAAGATTATTTTAAACATTCCGGATGTTTATTTAGCCTTAGTGTTCTATAGTAAAGGCAAAGGGTGGTAAAGACAAATTATGCAATAAAACAGCCAAATTTTGCTTTCTAAAAAGAAGAATATGATTACACTTAACACACCCGGGCAACAATGATCTCCTGCAGAATAAATACCCAAAGGCAAAGAGCTGAGGTGGAGTCCTTTCTGGTATTTTCGTTTTGTTTTGTTTTGTTTGTTTTTAAATAGAGACAGCCTCCGCCAGGCTCTTGCCTGTAATTCCAGCACTTTGGGAGGCCGAGGCAGGTGGATCACCTGAGGTGAAAAGTTCGAGAACAGATTGGTCAGCATGGCGAAACCTCATATCTACTAAAAATACAAAACTAAGCCAGGCGTGGTGATGGGTGCCCATAACCCCAGCTACTCGGGAGACTGAGGCAGGAGAATGGATTGAACCTGGGAGCCGAGATAGCGCCAATGCACTCCAGCCTGGGCGACAGTGCGAGACTCCGTCTCAAATAATAAAAAAATAATAGAAACAGCCTCACACTCCGTCCCCCAGGCTGGAGTGCAATGGAGTGATCTCGGCTCACTGAAACCTCCGCCCCTGGGTTCAAGCGATTCTCCAGACTCAGCCTCCCAAATAGCTGGGATAACAGGCGGGCCACCGCAGCCGGCCAAGTTTTTTAATAGAGACAGGGGTTCCGCCATGTTGCCCAGGCTGCTCTCCCCTGAGCTCAAGCGATCCTCCCGCCTCAGCCTCCAAAACCGCTGGGATTACATGCGGGAGCCATCGCGACCGGCCCTCGTCGGGTCCTTTAATGTCCAGCTCCAGCGCAGGGCGGGGCGCGGAGGTGGGGGCCGGGCGAGGTGGATGCGGCTGCCCGGGCCCCGCACAGCCTCCTCGGGAGCCTCCCGACCGCTCGCGTGGAGGCTGCCGGGGCTGCGGGGGGTGCAGGCCGCGTCACGTATAGGCCCCGCGGGAAACCTAGTTGCAAGCCCCTCGCCCCTCGCTCCTCGCCGTTGAGCCCTGCCGCCCCTCGAACCCCTTGCCCCTTGGCCCTCTCGCCCTAGCACCTACCTGCAACCCAGGTCTCTGCGCCCCCCCTGCAACTCCGGCCAGCACGCACTGGGCCTACTGCGCTTGCGCGGTCGGAAGCGCGTCCTGGGGTCGAGCGCGACGCTGCTGCCCCCTGGCGTCCGCCTCCGACCGTGCACTGAAGACGGAGCAAGCGCAGCGGTGGTGCCGGCGCGCGCCTAGCCAGTCTCTGGCTCTGGCTTCTGCTTCCTGAACTTGCGAGGACGATTTTGCGTTGACCGACTATTGCTTCAGCCTGGTGCCAGGCCCATGCAGAGCAGCTGTCAGATCTCGACGCACTGCGAGGCCGTGGATTCCAAAGCGTAGTCCTCAGACCCGCGGCATTAGCAGGGGCCTTGCTGGGAAGGCAGATTCCCCACTTCAGCCCAGACCCGCTGTGCGGGGACCCAGATGCCTGAAGTTCGAGACTCGCTCTGTAACAGAAACTGTGGGCTTTAGCCCAGACGTCGTAAAGCTGAGCTGCACACATCAAGCGCAGCAGACAAGACCTAGGCAAGCCTCCGCAGAGAAGTGGGACTGGGCAAGAGCAGGGAAGACAGCCGGTGGCCGGCCGGGAGCACCACACGCACGCGGGCGCTTGCTCCAGGGAACCGAGAGGGAGGGTTGCAGCGTCGAGGTCAGCCTGGGGTCATGGAACGTCTGGTTGTGTACATCGGAAGTGTTAGCTGTTTCCACACTGACACACTGCGAAAGTTCAGAATCAAGACACTAACACTATGTAGGATAAAAAACTGTACTAGCAACCCAAATAGTATTAAAGTAACTTCCAGCAACTTTTGCCTGTCACATGGACAAATAGCAAAAGAAGAATGGTAACACCTCCTGTCGTTAGAGTCTGAAAGTGTCCTTGCGCTCATACAATTGAGTGTGAATTGGAATTCCTCCTGCGGGCCCTAGCAAATCGCAGTTCTAGGAATTTATCCTTCAGAAATAATATGTCTGCAAGATGTATGCACAAGAAATCTTGCTGAAGCATTGTTGATAAGGGATATTTATACTAGAGAAAAAAAGAAACCTAAATGTATAACAATATGGGTTTCTGAAAGAAATTATATTACATCCACAAGCCATGAAAAATGATGCTGTCTAACGGGTGCACAATTTCAGTTTGAGAAGATGGTAGAGTCCTGGAGATGGATGGGGGTGATGGTTGCACAACAATGTGAATATACCTAATTCCACTGAACTGAACTGCACACTTCCAAATTGTTACAATGGTAAATTTTATGTTATGCATCTTTTACTACAATGTTTTTAAAGTTATGCTATAGATCTATATATATATTGTCAGGAAAGGATATCCATAATACATGGCCAAGAGAGGAAGCAATCTCATTTTTTAAAAATATGTATTTATAATCACCTATATACATGTATATTCCAATGGTTACCTCCAATAAGTAGAATTTGGGGCAATTTAAATTCTCCATTCTTGCTTATATGTATTTTTAAATGTTTATGTAATAAATAGGTATTTCTCCATATATGTGTATGTGTGTGTGTGTGTATATATATATAAACCATGAACCTGCTAGCAGTATTAGACATGTATGATGACATACCTTAGAAGGAAGGCATTTAGAAAGATCATAAAACAAACCTATTAAATTAATAATAACTTTTTAAAATAAAGTAGGCCAGGCACAGTGGCTTATACCTGTAATCTCAGCACTTTGGGAGGCCGAGGCAAGTGGATCACTTGACGTCAGGAGTTCGAGACCAGCCTGACCAACATGGTGAAATCCCATCTCTACTTTTTAAAAATACATAAATAAGCCAGGGGTGATGGCAGGCACCTGTAGTCACAGCTACTCAGGAGGCTGTGGCAGGAGAATTGCTTGGATCCAGGAAGTGGAGGTTTCAGTGAGCCAAGATCACACCACTGCACTCCAGCATGGATAACAGAATAAGACTCCGTCTCAGGTGGGAAAAAAAAGAAGAAAGTAAAAGGAAAATGGATGAGATATGAGAAACTTTGAATATGAGAATTTTGAAGGGAAAAAAATTAGGCATTGAAATTTTACCAGATGTAGGGAATTAAGGAAATAAATGAAGTGTAGTCAATTCAACTATAACACATTTTAAAGACACAAATTTGTTTCAATATGATTGATACATTAAGAATTAAGCATAATACAAATTTCCTATTTGGTTGGTTGGTTTTGTTTCATTTTGGTTTGATTTCAGAAAGTCTCACTACATTGTCCAGGTTGGTCTCAAATTCCTGGCCTCAAGTGGTTCCCCTGCCTTATCCTCCCAAAATGCTGGGATTACAGGTGTGAGCCACCAATTTACTCTTTTTTTTTTTTTTTTTTTTTTTTGGGATGGAGTTTCACTCTTGTTACCCAGGCTGGAGTGCAATGGCGCGATCTCGGCTCACCGCAACCTCCGCCTCCTGGGTTCAGGCAATTCTCCTGCCTCAGCCTCCTGAGTAGCTGGGATTACAGGCACGCGCCACCATGCCCAGCTAATTTTTTGTATTTTTAGTAGAGACGGGGTTTCACCGTGTTGACCAGGATGGTCTCGATCTCTTGACCTCGTGATCCACCCGCCTCGGCCTCCCAAAGTGCTGGGATTACAGGCTTGAGCCACCGCGCCCGGCCCAATTTACTGTTTCTAGATACGTGATTTCATCCTGGAGAGGCACTAGGGGGATGCAGAAAATGATCCTCTAAGCCACACTGCATAGGAATACACAAGGCATGCACATGCACACCCCTCGACATCTATCACATTCTTCAATACACTGTGTTATAAGCCACACCCATAGACACCGGCTGTTACAGCTGTCAGATTTCAGCTAACCCTGTCCCCAGCACCTCACCATAACTTACAAGCTGCTGCCCTTCTAAGCCTGCTTCCACTGGCAAGCTCCAGGTCTTCTTTAAGGTCAAGTACCGTGTTTATTATCAAACTTATGCTCTCTTAACCACCTGAAATGTGTAAAACTGTGGCATCATTTTTGTTAGGTTTTTCATTTTTATTACTTAAAAAAATTTTTTTTGACAGTCTCACTCTCTGTCACACAGGCTGGAGCGCAGTGGCGCAATCTTGGCTCATTACAACCTCCACCTCCCAGGTTCAAGCAATTCTCCTGCCTCAGCCTGCAGAGCAGCTGGAATTACAGATTCCCACCACCATGGGAGACTAATTTTTGTATTTTTATTGAAGATGGCCCATCTGGTCTCAAACTCCTGACCTCAACTGTTCTACCTGCCTTGGCTTCCCAAATTGCTGGGATTATAGGCATTGAGACACTGTGCCCAGCGTTGCCGTTTTCAACACTGGAGTAGACACTGCTTGGTATACACCACTGAATTGCTATAAAAATAGGATGATGAGGTTTTGCTTTTCATAAAATTAAGCCTGCTGGCTGACAGAGTTGGCTGTTGGCATCAATATAGAAACCAATTGGCTGGGCACGGTGGTTCACACCTGTAATCCAAGCACATTGGGAGGCCAAGATGGGCAGATCACCTGAGGTCAGGTGTTCAAGATCAGCCTGGCCAATATGGTGAAACTGTGTCTCTACTAAAAATACAAAAAAATTAGCCGGGTGTGGTGGTGGGCGCCTGTAATCCCAGCTACTCAGGATGCTGAGGCAGGAGAATCACTTGAACGTGGGAGGTGGAGGTTGCAGTGAGCCAAGATGGCGCTACTTCACTGTAGCCTGGGCTAAAGAACAAAACTCCATCTCAAAAAAAAAAAAAAAAAGATAGAAACCAACCAGCAGCTCTCTTTGCTGAGTTCTTTGCCACGTGGCCACCATTTCATGCCTAGAGGCTTTTGTGGGGTGCTGGCTGGGAAAGGGTGAAACTTTAATACTGATGAAAAATTAGAGGAATTAAAATCAGACAAAAAAAATTTAAGGCAGAATTTGACACACCATTAAACTGGTTGTGTCACCCTTTTATCTTTTAATATCTTCGACGTGAGTATAGCCGAATACCTGGAAGTGAGTGTCATGGGCACACAGACTCGGGAGAAATCCTCTGCTTCTGGCTCATGGAGCAGAAAAGGAAATTCCTAACACACAGAGGGAGTATGGAAAATTCCCGTTCTATTTTCTTCCTTTCTTTGCACTCCAGCCCCTAGTCAAGCCCGTGGCCAGAGCAAAAAGCTTCAGCAGCCAAAACTCTGAGGGAGAGAGATAGTCCCATTCAGTGGCACTGCATCACCAAGAGGACAGACACAAACTTGGTGTTCTGTTGTTTTTGTTTTCCCACTATGTGGCACAACTGTGGAAGTGGGCAGCTCCCCCAAGCGAAACTGAAAGTGGGAGGTTTCTGACCAGCGAACTGAAACCTCAGGGAACCTAAAAGCACTAAGATAGTGGAAGGGGAGGGCATCCGGCAAGCAACCTCAGAGTTGTTTTTGAACTCTTGGGCTCACCGCTGGCCTGCGTATCACAGATTTAATGAGCACATCACTCAGAGAACTGTGCTCATGAACAGATTTTTTGTTCAGGTACCAAACTACTAGGGGATGCAGCCATGAGATAGATCCAAATAGCCCTGCAGAGGATATGCACACAGAACTCACTTTGGAACACTGACCCCGGGAGAAGATTGGAACTTGCAGCCCAGCGTACATGCTAGTGCATGTGCTTGCTTAAATTAAAATGTTGGCCAGGCAAGGTGGACTACAGGCACACACCACCACTCTTGGCTAATAATATTTTTTAAAATTCTGTACAGATGGGTTCTTGCTATGTTGCCCAGGCAGGTCTTCAATTCCAGGGCTCAAGCAGCCCTCCAACCTCAGCCTCCCAAAGTGCTGGAATTATAGGCATGAGTCACACCACCTGGCCTCATTATGCCTTTTATTAAGCTATCTCTATGAGCTTTCTTGAGTCCAAAGCCCCAGTTCCAATCAGTCTGGGCCACTGATGATACTTTCTAAGAGTAACCGCTTTTTTTTTTTTTTTTTCCCCAAGACTGAGCCTCCCTCTATTGCCCTAGCTGGAGTGCAGTGGCACCACCTTGGCTCACTGAAACCTCTGCCTCCCAACTTCAAGCAATTCTCCTGTCTTAACCTCCTAAGTAGCGGGGATTACAGGCACCCATCACCATGTCTGGCTAATTTTTGAATTTTTAGTAGAGACGGGGTTTCACCATGTTGGCCAGGCTGGTCTTGAACTCTTGACTTCAAATGATCCACCCACCTCAGCCTCCCAAAGTGCTGGGATTACAGGTGTCAGCCATCACACCCAGCTGAGGGTAACTGCTATCTTATGAGAACTTCTCTATGTAGTTTTTAATCCTTATGACACCTTTGAAATGGTCTAAACAGAAATGACACTTTGTGGCAACTTTAAGAATTAGAGATTTTTGGATTCTAAAAACAACAAAAACATGTAAAATGTCAGAAATAATACTTCCCAAATATATTTTCTTCAAAAAGTATTTTTAAAAAAAAATTTTTTTTTGAGACAGTCTCTGTCACCCAGGCTGGAGTGCAGTGGCAAGATCTTGGCTCACTGCAATCACTGCAGCCTGTACCTCCTGGATTTAAGCAATTCTTCTGCCTTAGCCTCCTGAGTAGTTGGGATTACAGGCATGCACCACCACGTCCAGCTAATTTTTGTATTTTTGGTAGAAACAGGGTTTCACCATTTTGGGCAGGCTGGTCTTTAACTCCTGACCTCAGGTGACCCACCTGCCTCAGCCTCCCAAAGTGTTGGGATTACAGGCATGAGACACTGCGCCCGGCCATTAAAATATGCAGGATAACTATTTAACTTTATATGATTTCTTTATTTAACTTCGGTGCTTTGACAGAACAAAAATTACAGATAAAGTGAGCCTGAGACTGGCCCGGTGTCTCATGCCTGTAATCCCAGCAATTTGGGAGGCTGACGCAGGCAGATCCCTTGAGGTCAGGAGTTCATGACCAGCCTGGCCAACATGGTAAAATCCCGTCTCTACTAAAAATACAAAAATTTGCCAGGCATGGTGCCTGTAATCCCAGTTACTCGGCTGGGGCAGGAGAATTGTTTGAGCCCAGACAGTGGAGGTTGTTTTTAGATGGAGTCTCACTTGGGGCAAGAATGAGTGAGACTCTAAAAAAAATCAACATATAAAAATAAACAAATAATAAAGAAAGAAAGTGAGATTGAATTAAGTGCAAGTACAGCAAGCCAGCTTGCTAACCACTCCCAACTCCTTCCTGGCATGGCATCCTACATGACAGAGGCTGGAAAGCTACAAACCACACTTCCCAAATTCCTTTGCAATTAAGATTTTAAGACTTCCTGGCAGGGCATGGTGGCTCACATCTGTAATCCCAGTACTTTGGGAGGCTGAGGTGGGTGGATCATGACGTCAGGAGATCCGAGACCATCCTGGCCAACACAGTGAAACCCCGTCTCTACTAAAATACAAAAAACTAGCTGGGCATGATGGTGTGCACCTGTGATCCCAGCTACTCGGGAGGCTAAGGCAGGGGAATCGCTTGAACCTGGGAGGCAGAGGTTGCAGAGAGCCCAGATCACACCGCTGCACTGCAACCTGGCAACAGAGTGAGACTTGTCTCAAAAAAAAAAAAAATCTAGCTAGCTAGCTAGCTATAGCGGTGACTCATGCCTGTAATCATATCACTTTGGGAGGCCAAGGCAGGCAGATCACCCGAGGTCAGGGGTTTGAGGCCAGCCTGACCAACATGGTGAAACCCCATCTCTATAAAAAATACAAAAATTAGCCAGGCATGGTGGTGCCTACAGTCCCAGCTACTTGGGAGGCTAAAGTGGGAGGATTGCT